AGTGTTCCCTTTTGCCCTCATTTGTTAGCTGTATCATCTTAATCCCCACATTTACCTTTTACACCAGACTTTATCTATCAGATTATTTCCTCGAGATCTGTTATGCTCTCGGATATCTCTAGAAATCTCGTATCTCCCTATAAGCTCCTTCAATTCTCGCTGTACTCTTTTATCCATTGCCACAAGTCTCCTTATTTTAAATATTACACTGCAATCACCGGACAACTCTCCTAGTTATAATACTTCCAGAATCCTCAAATCCCACCGAGCCTCACTTTCGTCAGAAGCCCATTCTCATTTTGTTGTGACTTACTACCACTCTCGAAAACTTTATCTGCGAAAACTCGACCTATCGTATTGTTGCCGTCCGATATCTTTTAAAAACTTGTCGTGTTTTGTGGCAATAAAATACTCCTTTGCGCTGTTCGAGATGGAGCACTAGGTCCACTCCAAAGCCCATTTGTTGCTCTCAAAACCACCTTAAAACAACGTCGTACTTGGCAGTGCAATTTTATGGCAGCCATTAATTACGAGTTATAAAATTGCAATAGATACGTTGGTTGTGGTTGGTGAAATTTGGTGAACACAAATGGGGATAAATTATGGGTATTTGAAGCAAAGAAATTCGAAGAGGGTGCTGAGGGAATATAATGAGCTTAGAAGAAATATTATGATAGCTATGAGTACCATGACTTTAGTGTACCTTTACTAGTAACTTAGTAAGTCATTCATTCATTCCTTCTTCGTTCATTTCCTCATTCATTCCTTCGCTCAGTCATTTATTATAATATTATATTGAATCTTAAAAGAGAATATGGAAAAGAAGGAAGAGAAAGAAGAGAAGAGAGAAAGGAAAAGAAATGAAGAAAAGAGAATAGCGTTGGTGATTGGCATTACTGGTTACTGGCATTTGTGCAAGGAGTGAAATAGACAGAAAGAAGAATAGAGGTGGATGGATGAACGACAGTGAGTGTGGTGACAACGGTGCACCGCGCCGGTGAAAATGCAATTGTTGTTTGGTGCTATAACGAATTGATTGTGTACGCGATTTAGGCAGAGATGAGTATTCTAGAGAAATTTTATAAAATATTAGTTTTGTTGGAGAAAAAGAAAAACGCTCGATCGATGATCGATCGAGAAACGCGAAACGCGTTTTATTTTTGCCAGTCGTCGCATCCCCCTCCCCAGTCAAATAATCATTACTTTTGTTCTTTAACCGTCAATTATCAAGCATTTCTCCTGCTTTTCTTCCTTCGCTCTGTTCCTCCTCATCCTTCACATTCGCCTCTCCATTTCATTTCCTTTTCCTCCACTTTTTAGCATTTTTTTTCCTATTATCTCTCTTCGTATCGTTTGACGCTTCATTCGCGCTTATATTTGGCTAATTTATCTTTGTTGCATTCATTTTTTGACTACTTTTAATTATATGTTTTTTGAGGGGAATTTTTTCTTTTGCAATTATCATCTTTTCTATTCTCTTAACTCGAAGTACTGGTTCCGATCTTTGTCTCCTTCCTTCAGCTTTTTTCTTCCTCTTATTTCTGACGGTTTCCTCTTTAATCTATCTTATCATCGACATCCATTCCTATTCCTCTCTCTTTCCTTCAGCCTCTCCTCACCTTTTCTTCTTCATTCTTTCTATGGCACAGTTGCCATTTGGCGGATATGTAGAGGCGATTAGTCGGTGGCCGTTAGCGAAATAACTCAAAATATTCATACTGCTCGACCTCATATTTTTACAGATAAGCAAGGCGATCATTTCCTCCCCTCCTACATCTCGTGTTTCCCCTAAATATTTGGTTTTTCCTCTTCCGAATCGTCCTTTTTTTAAATATTTTTCTCTGTTTAAGTGATAAATTGTTTAAGTCAGTCATCATTAATATTTATGCGTTCTTAATGTCCCAAAACTTTTTTTTTTGTTTGCGTTCGCATTTTCTCTTTTATCTTTTATCATTTTATAAATCATTACCGATTATCAATTGTTATAATTGTTTTCATCGGTAATTTTTTTTCATTGATAATTATTTTTTTATTTAATTTTTATTTATTGTTATGGCTTAGTAATTCACCTATTATCAGTAAACAGCTAATTAGTAGAACGCTGATTAGTGAGTTTTTGCTTTCGAAGCGTTGATACTGAGGTTTTTTACTCTCGGTTAAACGTTGTCTTTTCATAAATCCGATTCACCTAAGTGTCGCTAAGTGATGCTCTGGTAAAATATGACGAGCGTTATTCAAAAAAACGCTGAATGTGTGGAGAGAGGTGGAAAATACGGCCAGAATAATATCAGTGCTGGCAAAGAAAATAGTTTTTCTCTCCTCCAACGTCCCCCTTGTCTCTCTTATATTGGTTATCAATGAAATAAGCTCAGTTAAAAATAGTGAGTGCTGGTCTATTAGACTTTATTACAAGAGTATTGTCACAGTTATTATCACCAATTACGTTTAATTTGTTTATTCGAACGAAGGTCGGACATTGTTCAAATTATTATTTTCATTATTATTATTATTATTAATTTTATTGTTATTAATAACAATAATAATTTTTCGTCATTATTACTTATTATTTATTATTGTATTATTATTATTTTAAATATTATTGTTTTTGATTGTTATTAATAAAAAATAAAAATATATCTAAATGAAATGAATTGAAGTATTTCATTTATTATTTTTCCTTTTTACTATTTTTTAATTAAAAGTTTGCAATTTTCTAAAATTTTTTTAAAACGATTTAAAAAGCAATAAACAAAAAATCTTTTAAATCATTTATTCATTTTAAATAAAATTTTATTTATTAGTTTCGAACATTGGTCGTAAATCGTTTTTCCCACCGTTCCTCCTCGTTAATACCAAAAAAATCCGCGGACTCAATGCAACATTTTCAAATTTCATATTTCAATATTCTAAAATATTAAATTTTTTTTCATCCAAAAATTCTGAATGGAATTGGTGAATTACATAAAAATAATCATTGAAACAATTATTTTTTACTATTTATTATTCAAGTGAAATAAGAATGCGCCGTTAAGAGTCGCCGTGGAGGCCAATTCGACGTCCCCACCCTAGGGCGAAACCTCGTCGGTCCTCATCGTTGGCGTTCGCCCCCCTCCCTCTTCTCAACTCGTCTTTATCTTAGTCGTAGGTATCGGATTTTTTGGTTGCTCTTATAAGTTGATATCATTTTGCAGCGCAAAATCATTGATTGGTTTTTCGTTGCAGGATTCTACTCTCATGATTTTTTGGCTTCCTTGTTTACATCGCGGTTTACGGTTTGTATTTTAAAGCAAACTGACCAATAAATAGTGTTTTTAATGTTTAAAATAGCGTCGTTTAATGATACCTGAAAAGTGAATTGAATTGATACTTTGAACGAGATTCGTTATATTCCCCTAACATTTCATCGAACGCCGATTTATTTTTTCCGCAATCTTCCCGCACTTTGCAGATCGCGGACGTGGGCGCGGACGGCGCGGAGAATGGGGCGCCCTCACGGACTAAGTACCAGCAGTTTATGTCGTTGGTGGACTGTGCCAGTGGGGAGGTTCTTCGGGATCGCGGACGGGGAGAGAGGTCTCTAGCGCATAGGTCCGGATTTGGGAGGCAATGAGTGTAACCAAGCGATAAAAATGAGACTGGTGTGAGGAAGGAGTGGGGGCGGAGTCTGGTTAGGACTAACATAACGTGAGGAATGCTTAAGGAAATTTCATTGTAGGCTAGCAGGAGGATGCGATGAACGCACGATACGATTGGCGACATGAGGAGATATTTAAGGGGATTTAGGGGATTGCGTTGAATAGAGCGTTCTGGTAGGATCTGAGGAACTTGAGAGGAACTTGCCCGAGAGATTTTAATGGTGTTTGACGCGTTTAGATGGCAAAATTGGGGTATGAAAAAAGAATAAAACGGGATTTGATGGTGCGCTAAGGAAATATAACAGGTTTTTTTTCAAAACTTGTTAGGGAGGACGAATAGTAATTTCCGAGTGAACTTGGGCAATTATGACGAATTCCAAGAGGATATCACTAACCGGCCAGGGTAAAAGAAAACATTTGTCTTTTTAAAAGTACGTCTTGTGCTAGTTGCTTTTGCTGTAATCGAGGAAATCACAATCTATGAGAGGAATATTGAATGAGAATTGGGAAAAGTCTTCGTAAATGTGGTGGGTGCTTGGAGTATGCGGGATTTTTTTTCCCGAGAGCTTATTTTTATGCATATTTTTTTAGTAAATTCATCGGTCGTCAAACTTTTTTCATGGACTCGTTCGAAGGTACAGAAAAAATCCATCGTCTCCAGTACAACGTTTTAAAGTTCTGAGATTTTAAAGTATTATGTAAATATTTCCATCTAAAATTTCTTGTGCAGTGATTTGTTACCAATCAAATAAAATAATAATAAATAATAACGATCTGCCACACCCTCATCTTCTGGGAGTCGCCGCGGACTCCAGGGGATGCATAGAGGGTGATTTGGCGATCACTGATGTGTAGGTAAATATGTAAATAAACTTGTCGAAAAATACTTATTGCGCCGTTCGCTTTTTGTTTTTTCCATGTTTCTTTTTTCTTTGGTAATAATTGGGTAATTCGTATAAATTAATAAATGTGTTATAGATGATAAAAGTATTGTCCAAAAAATAATAAGTAGAAGTAAATAAATATATGTGCGGTAATGAAATGCCGCGACGTAAAGGTATTGAAAATGGGAATATTTCCGCAATTAATGCAGCGGCAATTATTTCGACAACTGCGACAAGTGCAACAAGTGCAACTTCTGCGATTGCAACGACTACAGCAAAAGCAACTCGTACAAGACGTGCGAAAAAGGATGTTATCAATAATAATAGTAGCAGCAGCAATGCTAATATTAATAATTCTAATAATAACAATAATAATAGTAATGCTAATAATAGTAGTAACGGTGCTAATTTGGAAGGTAAAATTGATATGCTACCAAATGCTGCAATCTATGATAACCAGTCAAATGCAGGCCTATCAGTGATGCACAATGGTGGTGCGAATATCCTCAATATGAATATTCATGATGATTTACCGTCAAACCTTCATGCTCATCATATTTATAATCATCATCACGCTCATGCTCATCCTTCTCATCCTCCTCCTCCTCCTCATCACCATCATCAGCAACACCACCAGCAACAACAACACCATCATGCTGGTCCACATCAACCATCGTCTAATATGAATATGACAGCAGCACAGCAGCAACAAGCATCTTTATCAGAATATTATCAGAGTATGGCACCAGCTTATCAACAACAAGTACATAATAATGCATCACAGTTTATGGAGGCTGATGCACCAAATAGTCCTTATATTGGACAAGCACCGCAGCATATGTCAGCTGCAGCAGGACAGCCACCACCACCACCACCACCATCGCAACACAATCATGTTATTATGAGGTTACTTATAGTTTTACCTTTGACTTGGCCTTGCATTACCTCAAACATTTTCAAATTATTCAGTGTATTTGTTATTTATTTTCTCATTTGTTTGTTATTGGAGAAAATTCATTGTAAATCTAAAAATTCGCTTTATTTTTTATTAAATTTATATTTTTAAATTTCTAAATTTATTTATTTTAAAATAGCAATGGTAATATGTATTTAAGGTACAGGCATGTCACACCACTGGGGCCAGCAGGACCACACCAACCACCTATGGGACCGCAAGCTCAACTTGAATTTAGGTTGCATGAAATGAATCGAAGGTTATTCATCTTCAGTAATAGTGGGGTTCGTGCTTTTTAAATCGTCTTTTAAAAAATAAATCAGTGTAGGGATAATTTTATCGTTTTATATTCACGCATTACTTATATATCCGTAGCATACTGAATGGTTATGTTGTTATTTTAAAGATCATGGTTTGGCTTTTTCTGCCTGTTAGAAGTGAACTTATCATTAAAATCCTTTTAATGCTATGGGTCTACCTATAACTCTATTTCCTTATCGGTCTCAGGTAAACGAGTCTCATTCTAATGGTGGAACATGCTATGGAAAAGACTAAACCATCTGATTTTCTTTTATTTTACTTTGTTTTTTTTTATTTCGACAAATATCGAATTTAGGCGAATAAAATTTCAAAACTTTTTAAGATTCAAGAAAAAGATTATGCACAGTGGTGGGACGCGTATACACATGAATTCTTTGATGACGATGCTAAAATGAATTTTTTAATTTTCGATGATCAAAATCCTTCTCATCATCGTTTCTGTTTGTTTCTTTTTTTCATCTTTATTTTCCTAGCTGTTATATTTTTAGATGTAACATGTGCATTTCATTTTTATGATATAATCACATTGTAGGTCAAAAATATTTATAATATTTGTTTATTGGCTATTATTGGCTTTTCTTGCATATTTAAATCTAAATTCAAATCTTTTCTATTTTTTCCCTAATAAAATATACATGAACTTCATTATAAGTTTGAACGATTGAAGGCATATACTTCCTTTAATCTTTAATCCTTTAATCTGTATATCTTTTATGTTTTCAGTCAAAAAAAATATTCGTTTTAAACCTAAAATGTCGAAATATCCAGAATACTTAGAAATGTACAAGGCTGGAGATAAGAATCATAGCTACTGAAAAATAGCCGTCATATGCATCAAAGTTATTGTAGGTATTGTAAAAAATGGAGATATTAGAAATGTCTTCATTTCACTTTTAGATTCAAACGACATCCTCATAGTGATGCTATTATATTTTTTGCGAAGAATACTATTATATTTTTTTTAAATTTATTAAAAGTAATTTTTTAAAATCAGTTTTGTTAGCATTAATAAAATGGTGTTAAATTTTAGATTATTTTTTTGACACTTTTTCCCCATAATTTGATTTTAATTTTGATTTTATTTTTTCAGCAATTGGTCGAATGTTAATACCGCGATATTATCGCTCCATATTTGAAAGTGGTGTTAAAGAAATGTTTTACGTTATACGAACACCGACTCGTGAACAAGTTGCGGCACCATGGTCAATGTTACTTGAATGTGATAATATATTATTGGTATCAAAACATGATAAACCTGTTCCTTCTGAGGTACCTTATTATTTTTTCGAAATAGGATGAGAAGTGGAAAATTTTCGTAGAATTTTGTAGATTTATATATATATATATATATATGTGTATTATTTTAGGTTCATACTGAATGTAAATTATTATGTGAATTTGTTTTCGATGAGACCTATGGTTATCGAATTCGTCAGTGGAATATCGAATTTCGACATTGTCAAGAATTCGTAATAAGAGATATTAATATGGTATTTCTTTTATTATATTTTTAATCATTTTAATTATTATACTTCGTTTTAGCGTAATTAAAGTGATTGAATTTTCCATTTCCACTTTTTTTCATACTTTTTTGTTCAGTTTTTTATTAATAATATTTTTCAGTTACAAGATAGTGAAATGCAAGAAAAATTAAAGATTAGCATTACACGATCAGGCATGACACAAATCACTTTAAATTATTTAAAACTTTGTGCAATTTTGGAACCAATGCAAATACTTATGAGCTCGAGCAAATCGCATAATGTTGGTTTTTTATTTTAATCATTCAGTTTTTTAAATTTATTCTGAATTGTTTATTAACGTCATCAAATTTATGGCTTAAATTCTGGTTTTTTTTTTTTTTTAAATGTGAGATTATCAATTTTTGCCAATATGTACTTGTTAACCAATTCGTCACCGCCATACCAAAAAAATTATAATTTATCTACTTCTTACAGAATTTATTAAACAATTTATTTTCGATTGTTTTCTTTTAATTTTACAGACTAATATTGTAAATAAAATTAAGATAACACCTCGTGAAACGCTTAAGCAGACTTTATTTCAAGCTCATGCGAAACTTCAACAATTTCAACATCAGCAACAACAGCAGCAGCAGCAAATGGCTATGAATTCTATTGGTAAGTTATTAAGCTATTTAATCTAGCAAAATAATTTTTTTTTGAATTTTTTTGGATTTCACTGTTTTTGATGACGTTTATCTTATTTTTATTTTTATCTTTATTTATTGTCGTTATTTTTATCTTCATGCTTTTTGTTTGTTAGCAACATGGGAAGTAGTTTTCTTTTTGAATTTATTTGATTTTTTTCGTTTCAGGCGGGATGAATGGACCGCATGTCATGCCTCAGGCTTCCATCGAAGAACCAATTTCTAAAAAACCAAGAAAGCGGACTCGAAAAGCAGCTGCAGGCAATTCTGCCAATGCTGGTGCAAAAAAGAAAAATAGTTCTCCACCAGCTCCTAACGCTCCGGCATTTCCTATTAGTTCACATGTATTTCCATATTTCCTTTCTTTTTATTTGATCTAAATAAAATATTTCATTAGTGTATTTAGTTTTTTCGGTTTAATTTTGATATTTTTTGAATTTTTTAAAAATAGTTTTTCAAAATGAATTTCTTGAAAAAATTATTTTAATTCAGAAAAATATTTTTTAGTTCCCGATTCAATATCAAGATGTAATGGTTGTTGGCGAACCATCTATGATGGGTGGTGAATATGGTGAAGAAGATGAAAGGACCATTTCTCGTGTAGAAAATACTCAATTTGACCCGAATGCGTTACAGAATCAGATTCCGAGTATGAATCAACCTATGTCGGCAGCATCTATGCCTTTAGGAGGTCCTGCACCACAGGGTGATTTTTCCTTTATTAATTTACTTAACGGCATACCACTTTTAGTGTTTAATTCTATGTTACTGAATTTTTTGTGCTGAATAGAAGAAAAAATTTTAACCACGGTTGCTCGTTTTTTCCATATTTCTTTAAAAAAGGCAATATCAGAAGGATTTCCTTTTAATCATTTTAAATCATTTAGTATATCTGAATGATTTTGAATTATCTTCCATTGGTGGTTGGGGAAGTGTTGGAACAACAAATCAGCAGTCTTCTTCACTTCCACCGTCGTCAACGTGCGTTAATACACCAATCGGTAATAATAATTCTGTTACCTCTTGCGGTCCTTCTTCTTAATTTTCTTTTGTTCCAAAAATATTTTTTGGTAATGTTAAGCGAAATTTATGCATATTGCAATAAACATTGCTCGTTTTCTTGTATTATTTATTGCTTTTGATTGAAACGAAACAATAATTTTATTATTACGTGATTTATGATCCTCGACTGTGGCGCTATTTTTTTGAGTATTTATTTATTTTTTGGGCTTTTTTCTCGTTTTATTGTGCCTCATATTTTTTTAACCGATGTAAAAAATCTCTTTTATAATTTGTTTTAGTAACCGCAGTGTTAATGCTATGCATGGGTTCATTTATAGATTTTTGTTAATCTTTTTTTTCATTATATTTCCAATTGTAATAATGGTTAGTTGATGCAGTTGCAAAATTTTTTATGTTATTTCCTAGTTTATTGCATTTATATTAGTTAGCCGTCAACGTTATCCAGTAGATCATCCTTGTTTAATTTTTTGTTTATTAATTATTCATCAAGTAAAAAAGAACTGATTGCATTAGGAATATAATTTTTTTTTACATTTTTTTTTATTAAAACATATGAGGCACATTGTATATTTATTTTCATCGATTGTAATTTTTTATTTTATATATTATTTATATATACTTGGTTTTATGAATTTTGTGAGTTATTTTTTGCATAATATTTTTTTTTCATTTAGAAGATTATCAGATTTTAAATTTGATTTTGTATTTATTATTTTATTCTTAGACAGTTGTGAATTTTTTTTCTTTTTATAATCTCACACTAATTTATCAAATGATTCCATTTTTTCAAAAATTCATTTTTTTGCATTTTTTTATGTTATATGAATACGAATTGCCTCAATTTTTTTCATATAAATATATTTCGAGTTTTCCAGGTATTTTAATTGAAAATCCATCAAATTAGTATAGTATTTGCGCGAATATTCGAAGATTTTTTATTTGCTTTGATTTTTTATTAAAATTTTATCGGAATAAATTTTTATTTATATTCTTATTTTTCTATTTTATTTAAAAATAAATTAGTAAATTAACATGAACAAATTCATTGTATTTTTATAGAAGAAAAATCTACAATATATAGCAATTAACATTAAAGTTTATGCATGTTTACTGAATGAAGAGTTGCTGATACATTATGAGAGTCTGATTAAAGTGATGCTCACCAGAGTGATACTAAGCGGTGGAGCGAAATAAAAAAGGTGCTTTGGTGCGAGGAAGGCAGAAGGAAATTTGTTGACGTACTGAAACTTCGGTTATTGCTAGCTTATACAATTTTCATAGTGAACGATAGTTTATTTTATTTTATTAAATGAAATATTATCTCTCATCAAATAGTTTAAACATTTCACTATAAAAATCAAAGCATTCCAATCATTCATTTACCAGCTCTGTTAATATTTACAAAATAATTTTAATTGGAATGGCGAATGGTGTAAATTTTATGAATCTTTTGTATTTAATGACACTTCCATCAGCGAGTGAACAAACGAACGATATAAAAGTAAGTCAGCAAAACTGGCTAAATTTGCAGCGGTTGCGGTCTTCTCGTTGGCGGTGACTCCAAATTTGCGCCAACTCTAAATTATTATCGTTTGTAATGTTGTTTAATTCGAATAAGATTGGATGAATTATTTTATTGCTTTCCATAATAATCACTGCTTTATCACTGATATCACAGAATATTTATCAGTGTTAAATGTTCGAAGATAAGATTTTTACGACAAATATTTTAAAAATCCTTTTGATTCAATTCTATTCTTTTTATTTCTCGCTCATTTTTTGCCTTAATCGTATTGCATAAGGCGAAATGTTGGTGAATAGAATGTGGATTCCTGCTATACTCGTTTCGACACAAATGCTGAGGCTCTACTCCCGGTGAGATTAAATATGCCTTTCGAAAATCGCATGCTTAGAATGCCTATAATTTCTGTCGCCAAGTGATTCCTTGGCGGAATTTGAGGATCCAGCGGACCTAACAACGAACGCTTTTTGAAAGGAAAAAAGAGAAATTTTATATTGGAATCTTATATACATCGTCTATAATATATGCTTATCTTCTTAAAATAATAAATTTCAGCGTTTAGTGGAAAATGAAAAAATAATCCTAAAAAAAATATTCGTGACAAATATTTATGATAACACTCAGCCATCACAGTTACCCACAACTGTTTTATCATTTATGTTCATTGACCATATTGAACAATTGGTTTGTTTCATTTTTTCTCAGCAAGTTTTCCAACCATTTTTATATTTTTAAATAATTTTTATTTAAAAAAACTTATCATGAAATCATGAAATTATTTGAAATCTCTTAAATCCTTCGTATTCCTAATGAAAAATATTATTACTTTGCTAAAAAATTGTTCATTTATATTCGATTTCTTATTAACGGAGAATTATTAAAAGTGAAAATCCTGCTAAATTGCGACGGGAGAGGCGACAATTCCCAAATTAACTAATTATCTTCCAAAAATAATGCAGATTGAAGCGCTCTTCCCGTTCTAGCAGGCGTTTTAGGATTTTATCACTTCCCTCATCCAGTTTAGATTTCATTGTCTTATCAACTTGACTCATTTCATAAATGATAAAACAACTATATCAAAAGATTTTTTAAAAATCTTTTATATTTTAAAATATGAATTTCAGAATGAAAAGGAACAAATTATGAATATGCATTGCAGCATTCTATTTGTAAGTTGCATTCTATTTGTATTTGTAAGTTTTATTCGACAAATATTTATTGGCTTCGTTGTCAACTGAAATCTCCTCGAAAATTTTATGAAGTTCATCGTTTATATCGTTCGTATTTCAACAGAATTTTCGACGGCGAATTTGAAGAAATATTCAAAAATTTTCAGCACTGGAAAGATAATCGAATCGTTTGGGAACCAAAGGATTATGGAAATGTTCGTAAAATTTCGCGTATGAAAGGTGAATTACCAGCAATGTGGTTTCCGCCGATTCATTTCACCGAAATGCAAGTTAATTCAGCTATAATTTTGCAAAAAAACATCATAAGAAACTTATTATTTTTAATTTTTATGTAAAAATTTAATAAATTATAAGAATATAAATATTCGACAAGGCAATCCACAATCTTCAGCCTAGCAGTACAATCTCATCTCAACAACTCTACTTTCCTTCTGAACATTCCCTCGCTTGAAAACGCTCAAAATCTCGACGTATGCGATTAATATTTATCCGATTTTATTAATTAGGTTACAACAATCCCCTCGACCTGGCAAGAAACTTACATGGCTATATTCCAGTTCCAAGTCCTATCATCATATTTATGGCATTATTACCGGATTAGAGATATATATCGTGAGTGTCGGAATACACGAGCGTCATTCGACAGTTGTTTAAATTTTTCGCCATGGAATATTGGTATTTAATATTGTGAAATAAGAAAATTTCCCAAAAATCATATTTAGGAGACTAAGAAGTGATCAAGCGATGCAGTATTATAATACGGATGTCACGTTAATGTTCAACGGCGCTATTTTTGCCCATGCAAGTTTTTATCAGTGATTGATTAAAGATTCAGAATCATTTCTAAAACTTCTTTATCGTCTCGAAATCTCCTTTCTTCCTATTACGCCTTATGCTTTCATTCCTTTAAAATCTTTGATTCTCCTTTACTTCTCAATACTCCAAGTGTCCACTATTGCCATTCGTGATTTCATAATTTGTATCTCAGAGATATGAGATGTTCCTCAGCTTCATAAGATGAAATCTTATCTTTATCCATATTAAAAAATACACAAATATACACAACTTGAGAAGGGTTGATTTTGAGGATTAAGTGGGTCTGAAGACGTTAAAGTGGTATAAAGAGGCTTAAAAGAACGTTATTAATTATTGGTTATGGCAGAGTAAATGAAGTTATGTTTTGATAACAAAGGAACAGTAAAGGTAAGGGTCAGTAGTTGCAAAGGTCGATAAAGGGACTGCAAGTAATGGAATTTAGGGATTTCAGTATGGTATTTATTGGGATTTTAGAAAATTTGTAAGCTATAAAAGGCTTTGAATATTATCAAATGGTTCATTGAGATGGGCCTTCGTCATTTTGGGCATTTTGGTTTTTCTTTCTTAAACCAATATAAGATGTAAATTATTTTATTGCCAGTGAAAGATGTATTCTATGTAGTGTCTAATTCACAAGGAGGAGAAATTGCCTCGAGCCTTCTGCCTGAAGGAAATTCGATATAAAAACACGAAAGACGAAAAATAAAAAATAATTTCTTTTATACTACATATATAATAAAATTAATAAATTTAATTTCATTTAATAAATTAATTGGATAATGCGATTGTCGAGTGGCACCTTCCTCCAGTATGGGGTGAACATCAAGGGTTCCTTAGTACCGACCGATGAAATAGCCAATAATCATTAAAATGAAGATGGTAGTGTGGATTATCTGTACTTTTATTCCATGCTACTCTGGTTTTTGTTCGTTCAATCAGTAAGATCAGTAAGCTTACCATGCCAGTAATGGTAATAAGACAAAAATTATCGCATTTTCGAATGTCGAATCTTTTAAATTGTAAAGAAAGGGACCATTTAGCAATAATCCTGAATACTTTTTTTAAACCGAAGAGATCATTTTTGCCTGGGTTAGTTTCACTGACTTATCAGTCCAAGCAAAGCTGGGTGATGAAAGTACAGGTGAGTTGCCAGCATTAATCCAGAAAATACCCATTAAAGAATTAAAATTTAGGTCAGTTTATCACTTAAAACAACTTGCACATTTGATTTCTCAGACTATCCACATGATCAACAACTGTGTCTGTTAACTATGTTCACGCCCTTATCATTGTTAAAGTATGTTTAAGCGAAATTAAGTCGTTTAGTTTCGTATTAATCAAATTGTTATATATAGTTAGTATCTTAATTTATTTTTCGCAAGTTAATTTTTCTAGTTGAGTTTCCAGTGCAAATAACCTGCAAATAATCAGAAAAATCTACTGGCAGATTGAAATTTTCTCGATGGAGCTCACTTACTCAACGAAATGATATTTTTGGAAGTACGGTTCCTGCAAAGCAAAATATACGTTCCGGAGAATTCATTGTCGTTAATTCGTCTGTTCAACCACTTTATATTTTACCTTTTGGTCGAATAACTGCAAACGAATCACTGTACATTGTTTTATTATTATTATTTATTATTATTAATTATTATTATTGCCATTCCTTGACATCAAAAGGATTAATGAAAACTATGATTAAGCACGTAGTGTTTTGTTTCAGCTAAGGCCGAAATAACACAGAAGCGATTCCATCCCTTAACAAAATGTAATCAATGTTATTTTGGAGATCCTCTACTTTTATCAAATAATTCTGTGGCGAATATCCGCTTGAGATTCTCAACTAAGTTGAGGAGCATCGCTTTTAGAGGAAACATTTAGCGTTTCGAGTGATCTGGTGATCTGTGATTATCTCCATATTTGATTATTCTTATCACTTTTGGATAGCTCGTTTTAACGTACAGTTTTCGTTTCCTCATCATTTAATTTTTAAAATTATCGAAAATTTTTTAATTTATACTAATATTCAGAGATAAACCTGAAGTTATGCGATCAATTCTCCGTTTTGAAATTAATTTTCAACGAAAAATTTCGTATTATATCTTAACTGTTGCACTGCCATTATTCTGTATCACAACGTAAGTTTTTTTTTAGAAAAAGAGGGCTTAAAAAAGATTATCTAATGAAGTGCTAACTGCCAAGCCTTTACCCGTTTTATTATATGCATTTTAATATAACCACTGGTGATAAGGTAAGCAGTCTAGTAGTGGAGCCAAACAACTAGAAATAATGCAGAAAAAGCGAAGAATTGCAAAAGAAAAGAATAATTTATGGTCACCGTTTTTTATGAAGAAAAATGTCGAATTCAATATTTAACAAATATTTTAAGCATCCATGGAACTAAAACGACTCATTAGGTTATTCTTCTCTCAATTTGTGATGCTGGAAGTCCACCTATCGGTTTTATCACTAAATGATTCTACCGCAAAATTTGTTTGTCTGATAAATTATTCAATTTAACCAGAAATGATGAGCACTCTTGGAAAACACAACATATCCATATTTCATTAACTTTTCATTTTCATTTAATTTTTTATTATCTCATTTTTTTATGATAAATATTTTAAAAAGATTTAGAGTATCCTATATGGTTTCAACAATAAAAATTGCTAAATTATCGATAATTTGGTTATTGTTATGCCTTATTTTGCAAATTATTATTTATACTCAAATTATTAATCGAATACCTCCAAATCAATTACATTCGCCACTCTGTGGTAATTTACTTTTTCGCCATTATTGCTAATTATAAGTATAATAAATATAGATTAATTACTAATAAGATCTCTGCAAACCTGCATCTCCTTCTTCTTCTAACAGCTCTCAGTGCATTACTGGTTAAACTGGCTCCAACGGTTACAAAAATAAGACGTCTCCAAGCTGCTCGGTGCGACGCCATCGCTAGAAACCATTTTTTTTCCATCGTCTAAGTCCATATATTGCTGGTCTCCTTATACGTTCAAAATCTTTCCTAACTGTATCAGTGTAGGTGTTGACTGGCCCTCCTTGTTTTTGACGCCAACCATCACAAGGTTCAGCAAACAACGAAATATGCTTCAACTCCTATGGTGGACGACGTTCTGTGATAACATTATTAATACAAGTGGTATTTGAGAAAGGTGGATACAATCATGCGCGATTTTATCCGTTCGACGGAAATGTATCTTAGACACGAGTGGTCTGGTAGTTTCTTAATATCTTCCACTCTCATGTTTCGCAATCATATAGCAAAATTTCGTCTTTATGGTCATTTCGCGACGATAGAGATTCAATGAACCAGAAAAACACGTTTCTAGTTGCCGTTCGGGTTACAGTTACAGTTATCCGGGTTACAGTTTCATCCTTTGCCTGGCCATTTGGTAATAGAGTGAATCCAAGATATTTAATCCATTATCCAGTCTATCGCACAGTTGAATATTGTAGGGGAAAGGACACAACCTTTACGGACACCAGTTCTTATTATTTCGAAAGAATTTGTCAGTTCTCCATATACACAGACCTGTGCCAGTGTATATACTGATAGAATGCCTTTATGAACTGAATGATCTTCTCTGGGACACCGTCATCACATTTCAGTGCTCAACTTTCCAGTGCTCTATCAAGCGAATCGAAGACAGCTGCAAAACTGATGGGGCAAGTGACGATAGGTTACTGGATGTTTTTTCTTAGCGAAAATATCTGGTCACCGTGTCCCGGTCTGAATCCAAATTAATTAGGACGCATTCTTCATATTGCCATGAGTTTATTCAACAGAAGTGAAGCGAAAATTTTTCCGGATAGGCTGATTCCTCAATAATTGTCGTAGTATCTAAACTTACTTACTTAAAGCTTGTCTTGTTTAAAACTTGTTTATTAACTTGCCCAATAACTTTACTATTCATCGTTTTTAAGAATAGCTCAGCGGGTAGCTTTCATTCCTGAATAGCGAAGCTGAGGCTCTATACTTAGCAAAAACCTGATCTACGAAAAAAGAATCCTTGTAGTATTGACGACTTACTAATATATGGTATCGCCAAATGGCTCCCTAGCAAAATTTTTCTGGTGCGATAAGCCACCGAAACGAGTCTAACGAGAAATAAGAAAATTAGGCTTTTCGACATAATCTATTCCCCTTATTAAAAAATTTTCAGCGAAATTCGCTTCATTAACATTCACCGAAACTTTCATCCTTCTCGTCTATCGTATTTCGATGTCGTATTTCTATAAAATAAATGCAAAAGATTTGGCTAAATTATTATTAATGCGGAAAATTGAAATCTTCCTTCGTATAGCATTAATTATTCATCTTCTATTTAATACATTTTTATTTATTTTATAATTTTTATTCTGAAAATAATAAAAAATAAATGACTGATGACGGGTAATAATTTTTATGAAATCGGTCAATTTTTTTCGAAAATTTTCAATATTCAATTTTTTTTTTAAATATTATTTTAATGTTTCAAATTTTTAATTTTGCCTGCCATTTATATGCCTATTATTTTGGGAAAAAAGACAAAAAACTTCCTTTCCTTCTTTTCTCGACGACGAATACTTTTAAATTTTGCTAGCAGATAGTCACACTTTGTGGCCTCCAATATGATAACAATCTGAACGCTTAATCTCCATGGAGAAAAGATGGAATTCATCGTCGCTTTTAGCAATAAACATTTTCAGTTTTAATATTAATATAAATATTAAATATATTATTAATATAGAACTCTTTAGTGGAAACCTATCATATTTTTTTATCTATCACTAATGATAGAAAATATAATTATATGCTTTTTATTTTGCATAGTTGTATTTTTTTATTTTTAATAAAATTTAATAAAATTGATAAAAAGTCAATGAAGCTCATTTTTTGTTCTACTTTTTACTTTAAAATATTAGAAAATCATAGTCTCTTCATGATACGATGCTGATACCGCTATTAAGTTAGGCAAATTTTGGCTTATCAATAATTTACTCCATTCTCCTAAGCATTATCATATGCCTTCATATTTCCATCCGAAGAAAAGCACAATTTAGACGAATAAAATAATAGACTAATATTCATAATTTTTAAGGACCGAAGTTCCATGTCCATTTTACCGAACAAATAAATAAATATATCAGATTTAATATATTTTCGAGCATTTTTCGTTCGAACTTTTTTTATGAAATTATATTTGACTTTGTCGATTCGTTTCTGATTCATTCGAAGCGATCATAAACGAAATGAATCGAAACATTAGAAATTTTATTTTATTAAATTTACCATATAATTTATCACCGGCAATTGATATAAGATTAAATTAAGGAATCATGAGGCATTAACAGAATTTACATTCAACATTTGTAATTCGGATTCATTATGGAAATTTGAATTTTTATTGGATCGTTTCACTTCATAAGCGTTTAGGCGGCGTAACGGTAGGCATATAATTCCACTTATTGCCATTAGTGATCCCATTGTATAAAATGAAGCATCAAAATCGCCAGTGAAATCTTTGATTGCAGCTAAATTTTTTAGTTGAAAACAATTTATTTACGATTTTCTAAATAAATTTTCTGAATAACTTTTCCGAATTCGCTTCACTATTTATCGCATTCTTTAAAAAACATGAAGAAAACTTAACCTGCTAGAGGTGGACCCGTTAACGCTGCAAAACCCATAAATAACAATACTATTCCGAATGCACTGGAAAGACGTTCAAGACCGAGAAGTTCCACACAGATTACTGATCGTAAAGCAGAAAAACATGCTAAAATCCTTATGATTAATTGATTGATAATTTTGAACCATTTTAATAATTTGTGTGTTTGCATTCCTTAATATTTCCTAAATGGACATGGCGAGGAAACGTTGGATTTTTTGCCTATTCTGGTTGAAATTTTTTTCTATCTCGGCGACCACAAAAGCACATCGTAAAAAGACAGCAATACGCTTTCGTGTAAAAAAAAAGAATATGAAACTTCATGAATTTTGGGAAGATATGGTTTATAGAATTCCCTGTAATATTACTCTCTAAAAAATCTATTCAGCAGATTTTAATTGATGTCTAAGGATTTGACTTTGGCCATCTAGAATTATAGGTTTTTATATATTTTATATTATATAGGTTTTTCATTATTTCATCACAATGCCAGTATTTTCCTCCTACGATTCCTAAACGTCGCTTTTTTCCACAGAGAATATAGCATTTTTGAAACAATATTGTCATTAATAATAATTAATAATAATTAATAATAATAATAATAATAATAATAATAATAATAATTAATAATAATAATAATTAATAATAATAATTAATAATAATAATAATTAATAATGATAATAATAATTAATAATGATAATAATAATTAATAATAATAATAATAAATTTCTTTTTTGCATAAATTAATTAAATTAAATGATAACCAATCGCGAGGGCAAACGGTACTGTATAAGCCAAATACATCCAATAGTGAGTGAATAAAGGTACAAGCATTGTTGCGATCCCGCCAGCAATAACGGCTAGATTTGAAACCATCAGTGGATCGACTGACGGTAGATCAGATATTATTCTGCAAAATCATACGGCAGTAAGACATTCACTATAAAATTTCATCAATTTTTTAGTGCATAAAAATTTTTTTATAAAAATATAGCCCTTATAGTCTCTCTCCTTATAGTACCTTAACTTGCAACTTTAGCGAATCTCCGCTATGGCACCCTAACATGCTGCCAAATCTCGTTGAAGCCGTCAATACTCTCTAAGAGCTCCCTGTAATACTCCCTAAAAAATCTTTTCAGCAGATTTCAATTGATCTTTAAGGATTTGACTTTGGCCGTCTAGAATTATATAGGTTTATATATAGGTTTCTCATTATTACATAAAAAAATAAATTGAATAAAAAAAATAAATAATATATTTATTTCGGCAAGTTTCGTCAAGTTTTTCATTTAATTTGGTATTTTTTTATAATTTTGAATTATAAATTAGAAACAACTATTATTCATAAAATTTGAAAAATAAAATTTCATTTTTTCACGGAAAGCTTTTTCATAAAATATTTTAAATATTAAAAATCGCAAAAAATTTACCCGCAGAGTATTCGAGCAAAAATATTAATTAATCCAAGCGATAAAAGTAAGTATGATTGTTCGTCCAGTGACGTGCCAATTGAACTCGACTAAAACTATAATTTTAAAATTGCAATTATTATATCAACGAGATAAAACAAATTATCTTAGCTAGTTACCAGAAATTAAAAAATTAATTAATTTCAATATTATGAACAAATGAAAGATAGTATAACATATATGATAAAAAGGATTCTTCGCTCATAATTTCATTATTATCATTATTATTATTATCAAATTATTTTCTAGGCTTAAATAATATATCATCATTGGACTTACAACTGTATTAAGGAAAAAACTAGAAGAATAAATTTTTTTGCCTATTAAATATCCATTTTTAGCAATCAAATAGTCTACTAAAATTATCCATAAATTTACACAGTATAGGCAGTATATTGATTTTAGCAAAAATTTGGCCACATTTGGCCTAAGATTGCCTGTCTGATAAAAGATAATAGCATAAACGAGTGCGATGAATCAACTAAAAAATAAAGCCAATGCACCTTAATAATAATTAAATTAATTAAATAATCAAAAAATAAATTATGTCAAGAAAAAAATGCAAAACACCTTTTCACCAAGATATAAGAACGGTACAAATAAGCAGCATGTTGTCAAAAACCCTCCGATATTCAACACAATAAATGTGATACTCTTCAACAATGAAAAATCAAGCAGTGATTTAAGTGCCTGCAAAATAAATTAATTATATTACGAAATAATGTAATTTTGTATAGAAATAGCAACAAGCAATCAACTGAAGCTAACTATAAAAATTAAAAGGATAAAGTGGAGTCATATATATTGCCTTGGCTGAAGGCAAAGCTTGGCCTTATCATTCACTCCGACAAGGAATTATTAGCCATGTATTTAACAGTATTCGTATCAAATATTTAAGCCTTCTATTTATAATATTATAAATCTTTAGCACATACCATTTGAACTCCTCGCGTCCATTTTACACCACCACCACTTACACATTCCGTGCTAAGAGCTAAGTTACTGAGATACGGTGATCGATTCCCACCATTGTCCTGATTTTTTACATCTTAATATTAAATTTGATTTGTAAAGATGAAAATAATCTTTGCCATGCCAAATATAAGTGCAATGCTTTTATTAATTAGCAACTTCAATAACGAACGTGAATTCGTAAATCTACGAGAAAGATTGGTTACTGATCCAGAATAAAATATGTCCATTCGAGAAAGAGGTTTATTAACTTCCATTAAACTTTCTTTGCTAACAGTTTTCACTAATCGTTCTTGAGACCACACATTTCTATCCTGGAAATTTCCGAAAAATATTTTAGAAATATTCTTTGTTTTAAAAAATGATATTCTCGAATAAGATCTGTTAATTCTAACACTTCTTTTTGCAGCGTTTAGCTCAATCGACGACAAAAAAGGTCGATTTTGAGATGAATATTTATTTCCAACTTGCTCGCTTGAGGCAAATCTCTCTATAGGAATACCACCAGCAATATGAGGACTTTTTAAGCGTTCACTTGATGACGTCTACAATTAATCGTATCATAAAATTATTTTGCAATATTTTAATTTCATTTTTTAATTTCGTTTCAAATATTTCAGTAATCATATTATTCAATAATCATGCATGGCATTATTTGATAAGATATCAGTTGGATGCGAATTTTTTTTTCGTAATTTTCTTTCAAAACATATTTACATCCTAAAATCCTCGGATTTTGGAATTGGAAATCATACCAAATTGCATTTTTTGTTTGCATCTGGATGTGACTCATGATAAGCCATTGCTATTTTTGTAACCTGAAAAAAACCAAAGCCGTGGTGAAATTTAATCCAGTAAGTTTAATCGAAAAATTTATAATATATGAAAGGTTGGTTTGCAGCTTTACTATACCTGTCACATATTTTTTGAGTTCTGAAGAAGAACAAAATTGGTGTTCTGTCAGATGCACATTGATTAAGTAAGGAGCTTCCTCTTCTTTTTAGTGTGATTAACAAAAAAGCAACTAATTTGTCGCATTTAATTTCGTACTGCAACTTATTAAGTCTTAAAGATGGCAATTTAAGTCGCAAATGACTGATTTGCAATTCGATATTTGAATCTATGAAGATCATCTGCAGCCACGAAATATTAACATTCCATCGATATTCCTTTAGATTTCTCTCTCAAAAAAAAATCCTCTCCAATCAATCTAATCAGCAATTAATTTATTTATTTATTTAAATAAAAGCCAAACAGTGATGGACAAAGCCTGTTTAATGGGCCTCGGAATGGTACTTTCGCCAGAAAGTTACTCTTTTTTTCAGAACGTTGAATTTTTTTATGCAGGTGTTTCAAGTATATAGTACAATAGTACAATATATAGTACAATATATATTTAGTTTAATAGTAATGGAAATATCCAATTTCTTAGATATTCTTAAATGCATAAGTTTTCCGGCGATTGCCATTTGCTCTTCATAAATCGTTTAAAGAGCGTTCACCATTTCTGGATAGGTTCGCTGCGTTGAAGCAAACGAATCACCAGGAGTCACCTGGCAATAGTCGGCCGTTAGTGTCATTTTCGGATTTTTTGAAAAATAGGTTGCCAGGTGCAGAAATTTAGCACCGACGCTCCGAAACCATAGTAACAACGTCATTAATTTGTTTAATATAATTCAACATTTCTTTTAGAATAAAATTTTAAGTGATAATTTCTTGATAACAATCGAATTTTTCCTTTATTTTATTACAATTTTAAGTTTTGATCGGTTAGAATAAAAATAAAAGAATTATAAAGAATTATAAAGAAATAAAGAATTTAGTGAATTGTTCGCTTGATTTGTTTGATATTCGAATAATTATTTATTTGATAGGTTCGTTAATCGCCTTAGCGAATTTCTTAATCGACTAACCTCCTCAATTTGCATTTCATTTGGTTGTAAATTTCTAAAACATAAACCGCATGGTATGCATAGCAAATTTATAAACGCCACATTAACGAGAAACGTTCGCCAATTTTGACCATTCAAACGCAATAAAAATGGAAAAACCTGAATTGTTAATATTTACAAATCAAAATTCATTTAATTATTTATTTATTCAATCATCAATTATTTATTAAAAATTTATTTTCAATTTTCATTTTCATTCGACAATTATTCGATTTTTTATAAAAATTTAAAAATGAATTGCAAATTATTTTGTAAGATTTTTATAAAATTGGAGAAATATATAAGAAATATTTCAGAAAAAATTTTAAAAAAATTTTATATAATCAGCGCAAATCAACGAATCTTTTTTTGTTTCATTTAAGGAATATCAGTGATAATGTCTGCAAATTAAAATAAAAAACGTTACACCTAAAAGATGAGACGAAAAAAGTGATGTGATTTGGATGCTTTAATGAACAAACCTGTGAGAATATAGTGGTGCCGATACCTGAACCACAAACAGCGATACCAAGTGCAAGTGCCCGTCGCTTTTCGAAATACTGATTAACAATAACGATTGCAGGCAGATAAACGAGACCAAAGCCAACACCTTGAAAATTTTTAGCAATATGTGGAGAAATTATGAATCGCTTTATTTTATATTGAATATGGGTAATAAAAATTATAAAACAATAATACTTTTAATAATACTTTTAATAGTATTAATGCACAGTTATACTTTCTAGATCTTAAATTATCTTATAAGATGATCGCATCCATCTTCAAATACCACTTGCACAAATAATGTTATCACAGAGCATCGCCTTCGCTGGTTAAGGCAAATGGTGAAAGATAAAGAAGAAGAAAAGAAGAAAAGACTAATATCGCTATAAATCATTGTCAACGTTGATTAGACCATTTTTTTTCATCGTCCATCAAAGGAATTACAAATTCACTAATATCACAATATCAAAGGATGGCGTCAAAGATGGTATACAGTGGAGATGGCCAAATTAATACTAACGCGAGATATCAGAAGAACAGTATCATTTGCTACATCACAATAGAGCCTGGTTCAAATTATGTTCTTCGCCACGCACCACAGGAATTGACACACATATCGCAGTGACATGTCTGCGATGAACGATGGAAAACGAGGCAGTCCTGTCAAGACTCAGAGTGACACAGCTGAGAGAAATTTCGAACTTACAGAAGCCTAATGATGTGTAAACTAGACGATTGAAAAAGGAATGGCTTCTGCCACAATCAAGCACGGCATCAAATCGAGAAGCTTGGAATTTTATAGCCAGCGGAGTCAGCCGATCCTAACCAATGGTGTGGGCTGCTTGATGATGATCAATCGATGTTTCCTTTCTATAATCGAAATCTCTATTGTCTGACCAATGAATTTTAGACTCTTTTGTAAAAAGAACCAAGCAAAGCAAAAGTAGGTGCCAATATTTCGATATTTCAACAAATGTTAGTGATATTTATAGTGCGCCATAGGTGTGATTTCAAATAATATCACTGATAAAACCCTTTTAAATTTGCTCAAACTAGAAAAAAATTTATTTTTAAAAATGGATAATGCAAAATGGTATTTATAATTATAATTTGTTCCAGCAATCAATAGTTCCAATGAAGAAATATAGAAAAATATGTACAAATCCTATAGGCTTGTGCAATTTCAACCCATCATCTCTGGTAGCATTTAACAAGTCAGCATTTACAAAGTATTATATTTATAAAACCAAGTAAAATCTTAAATTAAAATCTTAAATCAAACACCATCTGACCTATTCTTAAAGGATCTAAGCATAAGGCTTAGAAGGTTTTTAATATTTTCACAATAATATTTTCACTAGGCAAATCAAAGATTTTCATCAAATGCAGGTGACTATTAAACTACCAAAGACTATTTAAAGGCGAAAATACATGTAAAACCTTACTCATAAATCATCAATTCGGATAAACCATTAATATTTTTGCCAATATTTTATCATGCAAATATGCAAAAAATATCATCTTGAAGTAAATCTTAACATAAAATTAAATTAAATTAAATTTTTATCAATTTTGTCGCAAATATAAACAAATTATTATTTCAGTAACACCAACCTCCAAGTACTCCAAAAGTGAAATATAATATAGGCAGTGCGGGTACGAGTGCTGATAATGTAAATCCAGTAAATGCCAGTACAGCGCCGATTATGCAAACTAATCGACAGCCAAAGTGATTTGCCAACGCACTTGCCAATGGCCCTTAAAAATTAATTTATAGATTTTAGAGTTTAAAATTTAGCGCATAGATTTTAGTCAGATTTTTAATAAATTGTTCAAAATGATTATTAGTGAAATAAATTTAAAATAAAAATGACACGCAAAAAAAATTCCGTTTTCATCCTCTGTGGGTGGTACTTCTCAATTTCGAGTTTTCTGCAAAGGGGAGCTCGAGGATGCTCCGCAATATCTCAGCTCCTATCGCAGTGCCTCCTCCTCAACAAAAATTTCACTCAAATCTGTTGCGGTCACTTTTCTAGTTTAAGACTTGCGGTTCCGAATGCTTTTATCATCACTTTGGCCTTACTTTCCCGAATCTTCCTTCATGGGAAATTACCAAAAATTTCGAAAAATTGACCAGCAAGCAAATAGCAGCCGCCAAGAAGCGACTGCGCCCAAGAAGCTGCCATAGCCGTCGTTTGAAAATCATTTTCCCATATTCCAAGAAGTGTTTGCCCAGTTGTAAATATGATTCCATCAACTAACAGATTTGCAGCAAATGATGCAATCACAATGATCCATCCATAACCGCATGAAAAGAAAAATTTCATGAATTAGCCGTTACTTTTTCCAGTAGAAAAAATCATTCATTTATCGATATTATGGTTATTTAAATTTAAAAAAATTTATTTAAATAAATGATAATTTATTTTTAAAAATCTTTTTTTCTATTTTTCAAGTGAATAAATTATTTTTTTGCAAATAAATTATTTCCAAATAATAATTAAATTATCGACGATAGAAAAAAAATTAAAAATTTCTTATAAAATTAAAAAATAATTCAAATAGAATAAAATAGAATAAATATGTTTTGTTTTTAAAAAAATTTTAAAAATTTCTTTAATTTAGAAATTCATTTTCTAAATTTATATTCATTTGGTAAAATTCTATGAAAAATACTTTGTAAATCTTTGCATTAATCAAAAAATCTTTAAAATCAAATTTTTTCTAAAATTTTTCTTCAATTTTCAATTTTTTACAATTTTCTAAAATAATTCTATTACGAAATAAAAAATTATTTAAATATGCTTATTACGAAAAAAACGAAAATAAGGAATTTTATTAAAATCACAAAAGAGAAAGAAACCATCAGGTGGACGGATAATTCCGATATTCTCGAGTCGCGTTTCGACTTGGTCTTCGTCAGTGCCATCCGATAAATTACCTCTCAGAGTCGTTTCTTTCATTGCTCTTCAATCCTTTTAAATATTTTATGTGCAAATGACAGTGAAATTTTTCGCGAGCATTACAAGAATAATAAACCTCGAGATTATTAAAAAAAAGATGGCTGCATGATAGAGAAAGGTGCAAGTAAATGCAACCATAGGAGCCTGAACTTTAATTTTTTTAGAATTGGTTGAGGTGAATGGATCCACAAGAGCCTCGTTTCGTTTTCTACGGGATTAATAAAAACAAGAGTTTCAGGAAAAAACGAGAGCAGAAGAGGTGCTGAATGGATCCGCAGGAGAGTGAAATTTCACATTTTTTTAGATTTGATAAGCTTATTCGCGGTAAATGGGCAAAAGGCATAATCGAATCGAATAAAAAAATTTATAATTCTAATAATAAAAATACAAAATCGTTGTATTTCACAAATAATTCGAAAATAAAATATTTTTTATTAAAATTTAATAAAAATTTTTTATTAATAAAAGATTTTTTTATTTATTTTAATATTTATTTTTTATTTTATTTTATTACCGTTTTTCAATAATTTTCTATTTTAATTTCTATTTTCTATTTGTAATTAAAATTAATTGAAATAATTATTTCTTTAAAAATTCCTTCAAATTTATTTCAAAAAATCTCAAAAATCAAAAATGAATAATAAAAGAATATTCGCTGGCAATATTGCTCGTTCACTCATATTTAAAATAGATGAATTTCTTCCATTTTTCTCTATTTTCCTAAATTTTTAAACAATGTGAATGCTTTCGATGCTTCTATTGCTTCTATTCATTATCGATTGATCATTTTAATATAAAATAATAAAAATTTAATAAATTTAGGAGAGTGGCGAAAGTTCAGTTATTCGCCACCATCAAAGACTAAACCGGTCATTAAAAGTGAAATCTGAGTGATTAATACGAGCAGACAAAAAAACACACATTTAGAGAGTTTATAAAAGATTGTTATCAAAAGAAATCAAAGATCTTAATTCATATTTTAACATTTTTCTTATCATAATTAGCAACAACTAGCAATTAGAAGAATTTTTCGAAAATAATATATTCAGTCTATCACCATCATCATCATCATCATTCTTATCATCACTTTTGATAAGATTGATAAACTTTGCGCACATTTTATAATAATTTAATAAGCTTCACACCTATATTTTACGATAAAATATGCAATTTGTTTTCAAGAGATTGACGAACAATAACCAATGAATTTTAATAAATTCTTAAATTTTCTTAAATTCTTTTTTTCAAATTCTAAAATTCTTTTTTTCAAATTTAAATAATAAATTTTTTCTGCTAAATTTTTTATTAAAATATAAAATTAATTATTAATAATATTTTGAATTATTCTTAATTCCAATCGAATTTCTTTTCTTTCCAACCATAGTTTATATATTTGGAATAGACAATGGGTTCATATAAAGCAGCAGTGCAGCAGCTGTTGGTACTTTCAATAGTTTCCTCAGATAAACGAGTAATATTTGTGCAGTTGTCCCCTCCAGTGTAAAATTCATCCGACTATACTACAATTTACATTCACAATAATTACGCAAATTTTTTTTCATTATTCGTAAAGAAAAAAGAAATAAACGATAATTATGAATTTATAATAAATTTATAATATGGCTCAAATGGATTGTTCTTCTCATGGATTTAGAGCGCCGACGCTGACATTTTATTTGCGACACCTGGGGATCTTTCAAAAATCCGGGTGGCTGCTCATAGTTGCATTTCTCTCACTGAGCGACTTCTTGGTAGAATTCCATTCGGTCTGAACAAGGCAATCAACCAAAAATGCTGAGGGCTATTAGGGCTATTAGAAAACAAATTTTACAGTGAAATTTGAAATTTATGCGAAATTCTTTTTTCTCCACTATCAAACTTCACAGTTTTCCTTTATTTAAATTTTATTATTTTATTAATTAATGCTATTTTTAATATAAAATAAAGAAACGGTAATTTTTTTTTTTTAAATTACTATAAATTAAGGAGACACGTACGCGACTTTTGCTCACCATTACTTCACACTTCTCTTAGGCGAATTGTGTATATTAGAAAGAAAGTTTGCCAGGGAGTTCCTGAAGAAGACAGAGGTGCTCAGCATCATTCTATTCGAGATTTACAAATATTTGCTAGAAAAAAAAGAAAAACAATTTTTTCAATGAAAATATATAAAAATAGATTAAAAATAAATGAATACAAAAGAAGATCGTATAAAAATTTGAAAATGGCTTTTAAAAGCAGAAAAATTCATTCAATAATAATTAAAATAATAAGTGAAATTTCGAAATTTAATTTACATACAATATTGGGGAAATATATGCGAAAAATCTTGGCTTCTAAAAAATTTGGCCCATTGTCTTTGTTCAATGCAAACAATGCATTTCGACTTTTTTCTTTTCCTCGTCAAAAAAAGAAATTTATAAAGAAATTTAGACGGTTTTTCTAGGGATCCACTGCTTGCTAAATGATTCGAAAAAATTCATTATTAGAAATTAAAAATACCGATTTTCTTATAAAACCATTTTTAATTGTAATAATTTATAAAACTGCCACTCACTCATAAAACAATAAATAAAAGAAGCACTAAGCCATTCAGAAATGGCGCTATAGGTGAGAGATTTCAGCAAATAATAATAATATAGTTGGCTAAAACTGCGCGCACAAATAATTTTAACTTCAAACATCAATCAAAGATATCACAAAAAAAATTATCATCAGCAGCAAAGCAATTTGTATATCACTGATATGAAAAAATGAATCGATCGATTCATCTCACCATAGCCCCATTAATGAGGTAATTCATTTATATGAGATGTGTGGTTTTTTTGGATAGAATGGAAAATAATATAACGCAAACAATAAGGATAATGAATTATGATATAATGAATTAGGCAGATAAGTGGAAATAATGTGGATAATGAATTAGGAAGTAACAATATCGCGAAGTACAATTTAGTATTAAAGTATAAAAAGCAAAAAAATTAAAGATATGATAAAGATATATAAAAATAAAGATAATGATAGGCAAAGACCATATCCAATATTAAGCAAAATTTACAGTTCATATACCAGGCCAAACAAAATCGCTAGTTCAAATGCCAAGCCAAGCAAAATCACCAGTTATCACCAGTTCATATACCATGCCAAGGAAAATCATCACCCGTCTGCCAAACAAGCCAAGCAAAATTACGCAGTAGCAAGCAAAATCACCAGCAATAAGATAACTTTAAAAATAATAAAAACTAAAACAAACTATAAAGTATAAGTAATAAAAATTTTTTTAATGTTAGTGACACATGAATGAATAAATGGATAACTTTTATCCTTCTTTCAATTAATTAAAATTGTAATTCGGAAATTAGACTATTATAAAAGCGATTTTATAAGAAAACCGGTATTTCTAATTTCCGGTAATAAAAAAATTTACAAATTAATTCTTGGAATTATGAGAACAAGAATTTGCCAATAATTTTTTTCCTCGATAAATTTTCAGTAAAATTTTTTATTTTTGTAAATAACAAAAATATATGAAGCATATAAATACTAAATCTACCATTGCATAGTGATAATATTGATCTACCATTGCATAGTGATAATATTGATCATAGTGATAATATAATCTACCGAAATAAAGATTTTTGTGGTGGTACTGAAAGAAATAATTTAATGCTTAGGATGGCTCACCTGCATTTTGGAATAACCGTTCTCTTTAATGTTCCTTCTGTTGTATAGCTCTATAAATTGAAGCGCATAGCTATTGCCTTGATTTGTTTAAATAAATAAATATCTAGAAATTTATCTATTATCTATCATTTAACGATTTTTGGAAAAGCGCTCACCAATTTATAGATGGATTCGCTTCGGCTTCAACTTATTACACCATACAGATTTTGCTAGGAAAAGATATTTAATGAATGATAAAAGTGGAGATAATGATAATGAAAATGAAACCAATAATAATGAAAAGAGTGGGCGCCAATAGCCAGTACCACACGAATTTTTGATAAACAAGTTTACTGTCGAGGGTGGAATGTCAGGAGTGTCAGCGTACCGAAATGGCAGCAACAACCCATTGAACCACTCTAACGATTGTGTCAATAAAAAAAATAAACCGTTAAATAAATAAATATTTTCTTATCGATATTCAATTATTGAGTGAACTGATAAGAATATTGGAACGATTAGCACTATTATTGATAAATGATAATAAATATATATTTATAATAAATATAATAAATATATATTTAAATAAAAAAAGCAATAACAATAAAATTTCTTTTCTAAAAATTCGATATTTTATTTTTTAAAGAGAAGAAAATACTGATGAAATCAATGTTTATTGGTTTGGACTCTCAAAGAAATAA